GTATTTCAACATGAGTAGGAAAATGAGAGTACCCCTAAACAATTTTGTTAGAAAAAAAGCACTGCACACATCCTTCCACAGTGGGGACATAGGTTTCTGGGCGGGAGTTGATCATGGTGAGGGTTTGCCAAACGTGCCTTCCACTTAGCACATTTCTCCCTTTCTTCCTGAGTTTGAGTGTCTTCAAAGCCCATGACACTTTTGGTAAAGGCTGTTCTCTAATTGGAGCACTCACAGGCCAGCATTTCCCAGTTGTTGGTGTTTATACTACATCCCCCGCCCCCAAACTGGGATAGCTCCACTTGAACTTCCATTTTAGTATCTGCTTTCTTTTCCCCGAAAGGGTCCGTCTGCAGTTAAAGGAAGTTCAAAGAGATTTGTTAACCTCTGACATCTTGACTCACCTCTTACTAAGAACAAAGCAACGTCATCTGCTGTGCACAATCTTGCATAATGAAAACTCTTGCATAAACAGACACAGAGCTAGGTAGTCATAAACCCACTTTCATGGCCGGTGCAATGGCATAACCAGTTTCACTGGTTCATTTCAGCCAAGGCTTTGCATAGGCCGAATCCCTGAATCCCTATCTGGAATGGATGTCATTTCTGGAAATCTGAAACGTGTGTCTTCTTAGCACAGGGGTGGGCAACTGGCAGCCTGCATGCTTGATCTGGCCGTTGCTTTTTTCCTTTATCAAGGTGTGTCAGAAAGACTGGGCTATATTCAACTAAGTTTTACTCAGAGGAAGGCCACTGGAATTACTTGTCCAAAGTAAAGGTGCCCACACACCATACATTTAAAGCACGCGCGCGCACAGAGAGAGAGAGAGAGAGAGAGAGAGAGAGAAGTCATGGGAATTGCAGTTTACCCCCTCCCAGAGCTACAATTCTCACCACCCTTAACAAACTACAGTTCCCAGAAATCTTGGGGTGTACTTTAAATGTCTGGTGCATACCTGGTCCTAGTCACCTCCTTTCATTTCATTGGGTCTACTCTGAATAGGACTAATTTTGGAAACAACCCATTATCTGCAGTCGGTAGGGTGCAATGGTTAGACGCAGAACCTCTGTGGCCCTTCCAGATGTTGCTGAATGATGGCTTTCAACATCCCTGACCACTAGTCATGGCGTCTGGGACTGATGGGGGCCACAGTCCAAAAACATTTAGAAGGTTCACACAGGTGGTGGTTGTTTTAATCATGAAACCTGACCACTCAGAAGCAGGTTTGGAGTTTGTGCACTTTGGGCCCCAATAAGATTTCAAACATAGCAAACCCGAAGCATCGTCCAGTCTGGTTCAGGCATGGACATACGTTGGGCCCCCCCAATATAGCCTTTTTATTGCGCATTTGTGGGGGGGGGAATCCATCCAGAGGGGCCCTTAAGCTGGACTGTCCTTGCAAAAATTTTGTGGTGCAGAGTGCTCCTGTTCAGCGTTCCAGCCAGCCATGCCCTATTTCAAGATACTCCATTCCATTGTCTTCCCCTCAAAACAGTCAGCTAGCATGGCCACTGAGCATGTCCAGCCCTCATTGGGCTGTTTGGGGAGATTTTCCTACTTCTTAAGATTGTTGCTGTTATTTCTGCAAATGATGTTTGTGGGCTTACACAGTGGTACTTCGGGTTAAGAACTTAATTCGTTCTGGAGGTCCATTCTTAACCTGAAACTGTTCTTAACCTGAGGTACCACTTTAGTTAATGAGGTCTCCCGCTGCCGCCGCACGATTTCTGTTCTCATCCTGAAGCAAAGTTCTTAACCCGAGGTACTATTTCTGGGTTAGCGGAGTCTGTAACCTGAAGTGTCTGTAACCTGAAGCTTCTGTACAGATCCGTAACTGGGAATGAGGCTGCAATCCTATATACACACATTCCTCAGGGAGGCTTCAATCAGGGTAGTCAGTAGGCTGGCGCCCCCCAGTGTTGGGCTCCCTCCCTTTCACCCTACCAGTCCCAATGGGCACCTATCATCACTGCACACATAGGATTGTGGTGTGCGAATGAGAAAACACAGCACAATCCTATAGGTAAGTTGGTACAGTACTGCAGCCTTGGTATCATTTGAAACATGTCTGTTCAGACCTAAGTCCTGCAGAGTTCAGGTGGACTTAGAAAAGCAACTTTTCTGGGCATTCACTGGTATGGAGAGGACTACTATGTTCAGATCCTCCTTGTGGGCTTCCCATAAGGGAACAGCCCCTGTGATAATAGGTTGCTGGGCCAGATGCAGGGCCGGCTCACCCATGAGGCAAGGTGAGGCAACTGCTTCAAGCAGCAGGATTTACTAGGGCAGCAGATCCTGGTGTTGATCTTCCTCCCGCCTCAGTGTTACCGATTTAGATCTTCTCTCACCCCTTCTGCCCAAGCAGGGTGGGGGACATCATAATGGGGGCTGACCCAGCTGCCAAAATGTCTTGGGCTGGTCCTGATCCTTAAGTTTTAAACTAATAAATAATGCTTAAAAATTATTATTATGACACTTAACTTCCATCTTCCCTCCAAAGAACTCCAAGATATCTCTTGCCACCTCTGTCTTATTCTCACAATGTTTTAAGGATTAGGTCAGGCCATGGGCAGGGAATCTGTGGCCCTCCAGATGTTGTTGGACGCCAACACCCATCAGCCTCAGCCAACATGGCCAACAGTCAGGGAAGATGGGCGTTGTAGTCCAGGGACATCTGGAAGTCTGTAGGATTCTCCATCCCTGTGCTATAGGTTCTGGGGACCAAACCCAGGACCTTCTGGTCAATAGTCATGGGGAAAGGACTCCAGCTGCACCCAGAGATCCACTAGCTCCCCACCCCTGGGTTAAATCAATAGGAAATTACTGGCCCAAAGCTACCCATTGAGTTTCACGACCGAGTGGGGGATTTGAATACTGATCTCCTTAGTCCAGCATGCCAACCTCTTTTCAGTGCTGCAACACAATCTCCAAACTGGGCCATCATCTGGCCCCTCGCGTTCTACCAAGGGCAGTAGACAGGAGAGGATCTCAAGACAGCTACATGGAAGTTCTCTTCTTCATTCTCATGCAAAGGAGCATTTTCAGACATCAATAAAGACACTCGACAGATTCCACTGTGGCCAAGTTGGTAATGAGTCACCAGTAAATTAAAAGGGCAAAGTCCCGTCCACTGGTGAATTGAGCAGAGCTGATCAGAACAAAGGAGTTGGCTTCCAGAGGCCTTAAGTAATTTGTATTGTTGGCATCTGTTACGCACATCTCCTCGTTGGGGGCTTAATTTGCATTTCCCAAACATCTGACGCAGGAGAAGATGCTGCTTGCTTCATTCCCAAATTCAGCATCAAAGTGTTATTATAGCCAGAAAGGTCACAGACCTGCTTGTGTTTTGTGATATTCCAAGAGACTTATTCTGAGGTTTTCACCTTCAGCAGAGCCGGCCCTACTGTTAGGCCAGGGATCCATTCCCTTCTGGGAGCCCACAGGCCAGTGGTGGATGAGGCCAGAGGCAAAGGTGGGCAGAACAACAAAGGCAACTTTCTGCATTCCCATTTAAAACACTTTTCGCCCACGGTCAAGAGGACTAGAACCTTGGTTTTGTAGGGGGGAAGCACAATTCAGCTGTCTTGGATTGGCTGGATGCAGAGGAGGTGGGAGGCAGCTGGGGAACCCCCAAGGCAAGAAGGCTCAGAGCCAGGGCACTGATGGTGGGACAATGATGAGTAGTCAGAGGGAGAAGAGGCAGCAGACTGAGAAGAGGCGGTGTCGGAAGCTGAAGAGGTAACAGGGTTTAGCGAGCAGAGAGCAATCCAGAATCAGAGGCAGAAACGGAGGCTGGAGAGAAGGCGGGTCAAGAGGCAGAGATGAGGCAGGCTGGTGAGGAAGTCAAGCTGTCTCCCCTCCTGTGACAAGCAGCTCCTCTTCCCTCTGGTCCCCCAGAACCTGAAGAGGGATGAAGAGGGCAGAGCAAAGACACACAAGACAAAGGAGCCTCAGATTGCTTGGGAACAGTTAGCTCCACTGCCATGCTCCCAACACCTACCCTGACACTAGTAGCAGAGAATCTGCTTTGCATGCAGAAGGTCCCAGGTTTAATCCCTGGCATCTCTAGAAGGGATGAGGGCAAGATCCCCATCTGAAACCCTGCTGAGCTGCTGCCTGTCAGTGTAGGAAATGCTAAGCTAGATGGACCAGCCTAACAGTATAAGGCAGTTTTCTGTGTTCCTTTACAGCACAAAGATCAGGGCCTCAGCAGAGACATACGGGGGCTTTCGAGGGGCGAGAATAAAATGTTTTCAACCGCGTGAGAGAGATGGAAATATATCAGAGGAGCACCGAGGAGAGTGGCCTAGAGGCAGAAGGAGGGCATCTCCCCCTTTGAAATCAGAGGCTTCTTAGAAGCTTGAAATGGAAGAAAAGAGGCCGACAGAGAGAACTGTTAGGAAGAAAATTGTGCAAAAGGGCACAGTGACCTTCCGGAGAATAAAGAGTACAGGGAGTGGGAAATTTCTTGATATCATTATTATCCCTTTCAAAAAGTAAATCTGAGACAGATTCCAATGCTTGTCTGGGATACCACTTTATAAAAAGTTGAACGCCCGCAGGATAAATTTAACAAACCTGTATTTAAAGGGGAAATCCCTCTATTTAATTTGGACCAATGCTTACTAGTCCTGCCAACAACTTTCGGTGACTAGGTCTCTCCTGCAGGAGGAATGAGAGAATAATGAAAGAGTGCATCTGAGGCAGTGCAGAAGGTTTTTTTGTTGTCGTTGTCGTTCACACCTCCACAGAACAACCAAAATTCCTCGAAAAGAGACCATGATTCCTTCAGACATCTGAGGAGGCATTCAAATGATGGGAGCCATCAAGAGATGAGACTTAAGCCACACACACACACACAACCAAACACTCCCCCTGTTTCTTCTCAGGGAAGCAATCCCTCTTCCTTCGCTTGCCATAGGAATTTGGAACCAATTTGCCTCAGAGGTGAGGTCACAAACGCCGGCTTAGATTCAAACACACCCACACAGGCCAGACTGTGGCCCACGACACCCAGCTCATCTTTGGGTCCCTTGGCCCCCAAAGAGAGTCCCTAGGGAGCAGAGAAGGAGAAGGGAAGAGGCGGGATTTGGCTAACGGAGAATTCGGCCATGGGAGAAGCAACTGCCGGAAGAATGGCAGGCCTAGAAGAGTGGAGGAACAAGGTTTGCCAGGATTTGTGTAATGGGTACATTTTGTAGTTGTTTGAGAAGAAAACCATTCCTTTGACTATGCATTTGGAAAGTTACCAATACTTTTCAGTTTCCAAAATAGGCAAGGGGGGGGGCAAGGGACATGGCAGAGGCGTATAAACTTATGCACAATATGGATCTGCTGGGGTCATTTAGTGAAGCTGGCTATTGGGAGACTCAGGAGAGAAACTTATTCACACAACACATAGTTAACCTATGGAATTGGCTCCCACAGAAGCTGGCGATAACTCCAAACTTGGCTGCCTTCAAAAAAAGGATTGGACAAATTCATGGAGGGTAAGGCTGTCCATGGGACGCGGGTGGCACTGTGGGTTAAACCACAGAGCTTGCCGATCAGAAGGTCGGCAGTTCGAATCCCCATGACGGGGTGAGCTCCTGTTGCTCAGTCCCAGCTCCTGCCAACCTAGCAGTTCGAAAGGACATCAGAGTGCAAGTAGATAAATAGGTACCACTCTGGCAGGAAGGTAAACGGCATTTCCGTGCACTGCTCTGGTTTGCCAGAAGTGGCTTAGTCATGCTGGCCACATGACCCAGTAGCTATATGCTGGCTCCCTCGGCCAGTAAAACAAGATAAGCACTGCAACCCCAGAGTCGTCCGCAACTGGACCTAATGGTCCCTTTACCTTTAAGGCTGTCCATGACTACTAGCTGCAATGGCTGAGGTCTGTCTCCACTGTTGAAGACAGTATGCCTCTGAATACCAATCGTTGGGAACTTTACTTATAGAAAGTGCTCTTGGGACCAGGTCCCGCTTTCAGCCTTCCCACTGCGGCATCTGGTTGGTGGCTGTGAGAACAGGATGCTGGTCTAGACGGGTCTCTGACCTGACCCCGCAGCCGGGCTCTTCTTATGTTCACAATGAGGGCTGCTGCCGCCCCCCAAAGTCTGTCACCTGAGGCAGTTGCCTCATTTTGCCTAAGGATAGAGCTGGCTCTGTATGTCCAAACTATTATCATTGTCTCAGCTGATTCTTCTGCCACTTTCCTTGATGGCCTCTTGCTTGGAGATTGCAGTTTTGCTTACTTTTTACCTGCGGGGACCCAAGAAAGTGACCTCTTGGGTGTCCAAATGTTTGCAGGCGACTGAGCTCCAGCTTCCAACCTGCCGAGACCATGAGACGTCACACAGAGAGACCCTCACGAGAGTCGCGCCGTCGGGAGATGCGCTTGTCCACTACGCAGATGGACTGACACAGGACACCTTCAAAATAGTGAGAAAGAAAGCCATTTCTACCCATAGGACATGGTTCCTTAAACCGTAGGCCATAAAACTGTTGGGCATTGCTCTTGGAATACAAAGAATACATACACACACTCTCAAGGGATGGAGGAGAAATCAGATTCAGTTCACGTATAAAGGAGAACGCTGCAGTTTCCAAAACAATACACAAAGCGAAACAGCTATCCTTTGAAATTTGCAGGTCTCTGAACTTTGCAGTGAGGTTCCCTGGCAAAGTACAGTATACAAAAATGCATAGAATAGTAAAGTGTGCATAAGCATGCATATATTAGTGAATAAAGCCAGTGTGTGGTAATGCTTCGGTGATCACTTGTAGCCGAATAAGATTGTCTTCCATAAACAGTTTTAACAGTGAATCCGTAAGTGACTGTGGAGGCCAAGTCTGGATCCACACGTCCTTCCACAGTGGGGACATTGGTTTCCAGGCGGGATTTGATCACGGTGTGGGTTTGCCAAACGTGCCTTCCTCTTACCTCATTTCTCTCTTGCATCCTGAGTTCGAGTGTCTTCAAAGCCCATGACACCTTTGGTAAAGGCTGTTCTCCAACTGGAGTGCTCACAGGCCAGTGTTTCCCAGTTGCTGGTGTTTATACTATATTTTTTTTAGATTTGCCTTGAGAGAGTCTTTAAATCTCTTATTTTGACCACCAGCATTACACTTTCCATTTTTAAGTTCAGAATAGAGTAGTTGCTTTGGAAGACGATAATCAGGCATCCGAACAACATGACCAGTCCAACGAAGTTGATGTTGAAGAATCATTGCTTCGACACAGGTGATATTTGCTTCTTCCAGTACACTGGCATTAGTTCACCTGTGTGGGAATGGTCAGAGTGTCGGACTAAGACCTGAGAGACCAGGGTTTGAATCCCCACTCTGTCCCCAGTCACTGTCCTTAGCTTAACCTTCCTCACAGGGTTCCTGTGAGGATTAAATGAGGAGGAGGTGAACTGTATACACTGCTTTGAGCACCTTGGAGAAAAAAAGCTGGGATATAAACGCAACCAACTCTCCAATCAGTAACATACAAAATGCATTATAACCAGAAAGATCGCTTTGCAAAAATCTGCATATTAGGCAGAATTGCATTACATACCGAAATGCGAAAGTTCACATGCGTTTGCTTTTAAACCACAAAATGACTTGCGAATGTTGGGGAATTGAACTTAAGCCTGGAAAAAACTAAAGCTGACAAATCTGCCTATTGCTACAGTCCCCCCACCACCACCACTTTCTTCTCTCTCCCTCCCCAGTGCAAGGAGTTCCTGAGACCCTTCAAGAAATGCCTGCGGAAGCTGAATTTGCCCAAAGATTTCCCAAAGGAGAAGAGGCTGAGCTGCACCCGGAAGAACCTGACCATCCTCGGGGACCATATCAACATGTTCCTTCAGCACTACTGCAAGACCTGGGAGCTGAAGCACTGGAAGAAGTAAGGGGGCCCTTCCGCAGAATGAGGCTGCGCAACAGCACCCCAAAGTGCAGAATCCACTTGTGGGTGCCCAGAACCTTCCCTGAATAGGCGCACTCCTTTAAGGGGCTGCGGGTATACAGTGGTACCTCAGGTTACAGACGCTTCAGGTTACAGACTCCACTAACCCAGAAATAGGACCTTGGGTTAAGAACTTTACCTCAGGATGAGAACAGAAATTGCGTGGCGGCGGCAGGAGGCCGCATTAGCTAAAGTGGTACCTCAGGTTAAGAACGGACCTCCGGAACGAATTAAGTTCTTAACCCGAGGTACCACTGTATTGCAACAATTCCCTCTGGTGTATATTATTACCAAAGACATTCCCTTGCTTGGAAGTAGCTTCTGTACAGAGCCTGTGTTCTTTGTGATGAAATACAGTTAACAAAAAATGTCATGGCACCTCCATAACCTGCGTTTATTTGCAACATACCAGCAGATTCCCAAGGCAGGTAGCATTACTGCTAGTTCTGAATCAATTCCCCAAGGTACAACTTACCCAGTGCTTTTTTTCTTTAAAAAAATTGTTTAGGGGTACTCCCATTTTCCCACTCATATTGAAATACTGCCCCTCAATGAGGCCAAACTTAGATTCACAAAAGGTTTAGGGGTATGCGTACCCCTGCGTGCCCCCAGAAAAAAAAGCACTGACTGTACCCCTCTGCTACTGGAGGGGACACTTTCCCTGCTTTTTGCCCCCTATCAAAACTGCTTCCTTCTGTATCTTTTGTATTTAAAGTACAGACTTATTGAGGTCATATGGAAATATACTTTAATTTATTTTGCATATGACCAAATCCTCAGTTGTTCTGAACTACTGAAGGATGGGGGGGGGGCGCTTTACGATTTAATAAATAAGAGCTATAATTCATTGTGAGGAGGGAGGCAATTATTTATTTCATGTTTGCCTCACCCATTACAATTTAATCACCAGCACCATGATAGCTTTTTTTAAAAAAAGATTTTAGCTCTCAGCTTCATTGATTAAAATTGGCCCTCAATTATTAAAATTTGGCTCTCCTCACTGAGGCTCTTTTAAATCTGTTTGTTTACAAAGATCCAGGCTGTGTAGGTGGGAAGCAAGCAGGGACATGGGTAAGTAATACAAGACTTAACAAGGTACAGTAATCCTATAGGCATCTGCTCAGATGTAAACCCCATAGCATTGATAGTGCAAGATTCATGAAATTAGCCCTGTAGGTCTCATGTCGTCCCCTCCACCTTAGAAAAAGTTGCATGCTTACAGTGCAGAGTCCAAAGCAAAATTCTAGCAAGAATCTCTCTAGTTATCTGTATAGGAGCCAAGAGCAAATGTTTATTTTTCGTTACCGGAATACTTAAGGATCCAAGAGGGTTGAAGGAATTCCAATTGCCCAGCTCTCTGCAAGCAGATAATAAGATAATCTATTTTTCTTTCTTTCTTCTAAAGCTGTTTACAGTACTCTCCAAATAGGGCTGTGAAAGGGCAGAAGTGGGTGATTTACAAGGACAATGGCAGAATGCGATGGCAGTGCAAAACCCAGATGGTTCAATACTGGCAGTAGTTCAATATCTTGTTAAGCAGGGAAGGGCTGTTAAGTATCATTGAAGTCTGTCAAGACATACTATATTGCCCATGAAAAAGTTAAGCTAATCATCAAAGGGCCGATTTCAATAATTAGATTTGGTTTTTTTATCATTGAGGCCCCAAGGAGAGCCCAAAGGCTCTGGTACTACTATCCACGCTCTTTCAATATCCTTTGTAAGACAAGCAACCAGGGATGGGGGGGAGAAAATTGATTAAGGTCTCTTTTTAAAGGCGAACCTTTATAAATCCGTACTTCCCAGAACACTGCAAGAACCAAAGCTGCCATCGTTTGAAATTTGCATTTCTCCAAATTTTGCACCACACTTTTCGAGCCATGGAACATGTACAAAATTACATATGCTAGGGCAAAACGTTTACCAAAAAATGCATATTTTAGTCAAATATATAACTAAATAAATCTATAGTGTTATTTCAGAGCTAGCCGCTTTGCAAGGAGATGTCTATGAGGCCATGTTCACACCATAGCTTTAAAGCACTATGATACCACTTTAAGCGGCCATCGCTTACCCCAAAGAATTCTTACCCCAAAGAATTCTGGGAGCTGTAGTTTGCTAAAGGTGCTGAGAGATGCCCTCTCCCGGGACTACAAGTTCCCTTTGAAGAGGGACCGGTTGTTAAACCACTCTGGGAACTGCAGCTCTTTCCGTATGAGCACAGAAAGCTGACTTATACAGATGTTTGTCCATCTAGCTCATTGTTGTCTACACTGACAGGCAGCAGCTCTCTGGGGTTGCAGACAGGGGAATCTCCCAGCCCTTCCAGGAGACGCCATTGCAGATTGAACCCGGGGTCTTCTGCATGCAAGGCAGGTGCTCTGCCCCTGAGCCATGTCCCCTGGCCTTTAGCCTTTAGCTCTCTTTGCAACCGTCTCGCTTTCTGGCACCATTCTCTGCCCCACGTTCCAAGGCACAGTGACGTTTTTAAGTTCCCCCTCTCCTCCCACTTTTGCCGCCTGCTCTAGGATGCTCTGGAGGTTTGTCTCCCTCTTCTCAGCCCTCGACGAGAAGCAGCTGTGCAGATTGTACCGCTACAGCAAGACCGACCAAATGGCCAAGTTCCTGGTAAGAGCGAAGCTTCCTTTGACACGGCAGAGAAAGCAGTGGAGGGTGGCAATAGGCAGCTGGGTAGCAGGGCAACATCCAGCCTACCATGGAGGCGCAGGTCAATTTTGTGTCCAGGGCAGCTGTTTACCAGCTCCATCTGGTACGCAGGCTGAGACCCTACCTGCCCGTGGACTGTCTGGCCAGAGTGGCACATGCTCTAGTTATCTCCCGCTTGGACTACTGCAATGCACTCTAAGTGGGGCTACCTTTGAAGGTGACCCGGAAACTACAACTAATCCAGAATGTGGCAGATAGACTGGTGACTGGGAGCGGCCGCCAAGACCACATAACACCGGTCTTGAAAGATGTACATTGGCTCCCAGTACGTTTCCGAGCACAATTCAAAGTGTTGGTGCTGACCTTTAAAGCCCTAAACAGCCTCAGCCCAGTATACCTGAAGGAGGGTCTCCACCTCCATCGTTCTGCCCGGACGCTGAGGTCCAGCGCCGAGGGCCTTCTGGCAGTTCCCTCACTGATAGAAGCCAAGTTACAGGGAACCAGGCAGAGGGCCTTCTCAGTAGTGGCACCCACCTTGTGGAACGCCCTCCCACCAGATGTCAAAGAGAAGAACAACTACCAGACTTTTAGAAGACATCTGAAGGCAGCCCTGTTTAGGGAAGCTTTTAATGTTTAACAGACCACTGTATTTTAATATTTTGTTGGAAGCCGCCCAAAGTGGCTGGGGAAACCCAGCTAGATGGGTGGGGTATAAATAATAAATTATTATTATATTATTACTATGTTTTCCCACCCTGCCTCAAAAAAATATATGAATCTCTCAATGAAAGTAGATTTCTTCTCTAGCCAGAGCATTGGCAGATCATAGAATCATAGACTTGGAAAGGACCCTGAGGATCACCTAGCCCAAAGCAGGAGCATGCAGCTGCCCCATATGGGTATCGAACCTGCAACCTTGGCCTCATCAGTACCACGCTCTAACCAACAGAGCTAACCCGGCTGAAGTGGTCCAGAAAGAGGCGGGGACAGGAAGCAAGAGGCCATATCAGCACCACACATTTAAAGTTTTCATATGCCACTGTAACAGCCGTGGCTTCCTCCAAAGAAGAACCAAAATCTCATCAAGGGCACTAGGAGTTGTTAGGTATCACAGCCATCACTGGCCAAGCTTGCTAGGCTGATAGAAGCTGTAGTTCAGCAGCGCCTGGCAGGCCAAAGGTCCCCCGTGCCTCCTGCAGTTGAGCCCTACATTGCAGATCCTGCATTGAGTAGGGGTTGAACCAGATTACCTGCAGGATCCTACCATCTCTCTCTCTCTCTCTCCACACTCACCCACTTTTATTATTATAAGCTCCTTTAGGGGCAATAAAGAGGCAATAGGACTGTTCAGAGGCAGTCTCTCTCATGCACCAGGTGCTGTGGCCAAGGGCTGTTGCCATCCTACAGTGCTTGCCCCTGTTGGAAGCAGAATACTGGGCCCAGATGGGCCTTTAGGTTGACCTAACAAGGCAACGTGTTCAATAACACCTCTCTCAGAGGTGTGGGGGCTATCGGATAGCACCAAAGAGATCCTTGGCAAATGCCCCAGCGTTGCCAGTATATTAACTCGATCTTTTTATGAGTTTTTATTAAGGCTGGGAGATGAGCGGGACAGACTGAGTCATCACTGCTTCGTTGAAATCCCTGCTATGATCGATGGTGTTCTGTGCTGCTCAGGGCTTGCTAATGTGTGATTTCCCAGCCCCATGAAAATGGAGAGTTAGCAGAGGAGGTTTTCTTCTGGAAAATTAAAGACGTCACAAGGATCTAAATCAAGCAGAAAGGCTACTGAATAACAGGCTGCATTTAAATAACTTTAATGGTGCTCAAAGCATCTGTTTTTTCCTAGTGGACAGTCTGCTTGTGCCAGCTGTTGGGGCAGTGAGCATGGCTGCCTTTGGGTCAAGCCAGGAATGTTGCAGAGTCAGACTATCGGTCCACCTAGCTCAGTTATGTCTACACTGACTGGCAGCAGCTCTCCAGGGTTACCAGGCAAAAGCTCACCCCAGCCCTGCCTGGAGATGCTGGGGACCTTCTGCATGCAAAGCAGATGATCTGTCCACTGAGCTACGACCTTTCTTCTATTCCTGTTGCTAACCTAGTTAGGGCTGAACTGTCAACAGTTGTAAAGTTTAGCTGAACATTTCTGGGGTGGGTAAAAAGGGCAAAACCACGTCCTCATGAATCTTTGGGGAGGGGGGTAATTTGAGGTGGGGGTGAGGCATTCACCGGAGCTTTGCACAGCTGCAAGCATCCACCCGACAAAGGGCCTCAAAGGCTTTGCATTTAAATTGCAGCTTTTCCATAACGATTCACTGAGAAAACCACAGCGGCACCCAGTGGTTGTGCCACTTTATAAAGAAGTTGGCCATGCCTGAACGCTTCCAGCTTTGTCCTGTATTCTACTATTTCTGCACCGTTATTTAACAATGGAGATGTATATCTGGGTGCTATACAATGGGAGCAGAAGGGGAGCAGTAGCTCGTGCGAGAGCCCTTTTTGAGCATTCAAAGATGACACTTGTCCTCCGTTCCAGCGCTGCATTTTTGAAGTGCCACAAGCCACCGAACGGGACATTCTCAAGTGTGTGGTTTGATGCCTCACAGCTTAATTGAGGCCAGGAATCCTCACGCAGTAGAGTCAGAGGCGACCAGTCCTGCCTTGGTTTTGTGCATGTCTTCGTATTTCATTCCAGAAAGCTTATTGCCGGCTGGAAAGTCCCGACATGGTTGTTCTGCCCGACTGTGGCAAGCTGATGAAGCTGCGTGATACCTGGGGACTCCAAGGCGGTGCAAAGATGCAGGGGAAACTAAAACAGGTGTGCTCACTGTCGCAAGACTCTGACCTGCCTCCGGGAAGTACATCTAAGAAGAGGTGAGTGAGGAGCATCAACTGTGCTCAAATTGGTAGGGGTGCGCAGGGGACGTCTAATGAAATCCATAATTCTCACCATTGACTAGGGATGGATGGATCTGTCATTTTCAGTTGCGTTTCTCATTTTCCGTTCTCTACATCCCTGTAGCAATTTGAGAATTGAAAAGAATAATCCTGATGTTTATCTGCATTTCAGTGCAAATTTCTCCTAACAGAGCCAGGGGAGGATTGCAGAAGGGCTGTAACTCAGTGCTAGAGTACAGGCTTTTGCGGTCAAGTGGCCCCAGGGTTGATTCCTGCCATCTCCAGGAAGGATTGAGAATGTCTATCCAAAACCCTGGAGAGCCCCTGCCAGTCAGTGCTGACAATACTGAGCCTCATGGAGCAATGGTCTCGGTATTAGGTAGCTTCTTTTACCGGGCACTTACAAGAAGGATGGGGATCTGTGGCCTTCCAGATGTTGTTGGATTCCCGATTCCAGCAGGGCCATCGATCAGGGATGTTGTGCATCCTTGCTGGATACTTCAGCAACATCCATTGGAAAATGGGTTCCCCACTCCTCTCTTAGGGAGTTTTTCCACCCTGTCTCTTCAGGCTGCACAAGAGGCCCTCAAAGGCAAGAAGGAAGGAAGGTGTCGATATCAGTCACCCCACATACATGGCTACCATCTCACCTACCTCTACCAGCAATGAAGCAGCGAAGCTTTCTCCTGCGGCTGAAGAAACTCCTTTAAAGACTGACCGTTAGCATGTGCGGCTTTTACCAAGGAGACAACACACACATACAATGTACCCAACGGAGAATTTGTAGAAAGAGTTTAGCTTTCTGCAAGACGCCTTTTAAATTAGGGCTCTGCAGAGACTCGGTGTCAACAGCTTATATAAAGACCCGCTTCCCAAGAGCATCTTTCCTGGAGTTTATGATTCAATCTGCCTCCCAACAGTGGTTTGGGAGCAACATGAGGGTCAAAGATAAGTGGGCAGGGAGGTCTGTGAAGCGGAGAGGTGGAATGGCTCTGCTGAGTTGGGCTGTTGAGAACTGGAGTCCAAAATACGGCCATTCAAATTGGGATTGGTGGGAGTTGTAGTCCAGAACTCCTGGGGTTGGGGCACGTTGAGGAAGGCAGAGCTCCCTTGCTTTGGTGATGGCTTTGTGAGGTTTGAAAGAAAGTGAGGATCTGATGAAAAACCATTCAAATCAAACCTCTTGCAGCAGGAGAGTGCAGAAGGGAAACCCCTTCCCAGTTTGTGGTAGCAAATTAGCACTTAATATTTCTCTCCATATAACGTTCAAATCCTCTGGTGGGATGGGGAACCCCAGACCTGATGGCAGAATGCAGCTCTCTGAGCCCTTCCGCAGGGTCCTTGAGACTCTCCCCAGGTGAAAGAAAGAAAGAAAGAAAGAAAGAAAGAAAGAAAGAAAGAAAGAAAGAAACAAACTTAACTTTTCCTGGAAAGTCACTTCCTTAGCAACTACTGTAGTCTTTTGATCGTGAACTATAATGAAGCAGCAGTGCCACCTAGTGGCCATATGCCTCCTGGTGTGTACCACAAAAGGCCTAAGTATAGTGCAAGGGCCTTCATCCTTTGCAGGCCCAGGATGCCCCCTTTGTAATCCCAAGCTAACGATGGGGCCGGCTCTACAATGGTACCTCAGGTTACAGACGCTTCAGGTTACAGACGCTTCAGGTTACAGACTCCGCTAACCCAGAAATATTACCTTGGGTTAAGATCTTTGCTTCACGAGGAGAACAGAAATTGTGCTCCGGCAGCGCGGCGGCAGCAGGAAGCCCCATTAGCTAAAGTGGTGCTTCAGGTTAAGAACAGTTTCAGGTTAAGTACAGACCTCCGGAACGAATTAAGTACTTAACCCGAGGTACCACTGTACTGTTAACCAAAGTTCTATGCGATTCCCCATGGGAGTGGTCACAGGCCGCATCTGCACCATCCATTTTAAAGCACAATGATACCAGTTTGTACAGTCAATGGCTTCCCCCCATGAATTCCGGGAGCTGCTGTTTGTTAGGAGACTCCTGGTTCTGTTCCTGGAGATACAATTATCTAGACTACACCTCAGGTTAAGAACTTAATTCGTTCTGGAGGTCCGTTCTTAACCTGAAACTGTTCTTAACCTGAGGTACCACTTTAGCTAATGGGGCCTCCCTCTGTCTCCGCCGCATGATTTCTGTTCTTATCCTGAAGCAAAGTTCTTAACCTGAGGTACTATTTCTGCATTAGTAATCTGTAACCTGAAGCGTCTGTAACCCGAGGTACCACTGTAGTTGAAGAGTCTCTTCACAGGGAACTCTGGCAGCTGTAGCTCAGTGAGGAGAATAAAGGGATTCCTAAAAAAACAACACCGACAGCTCCCAAAATTCTTTGGAGAAAGCCACGAGTGTTGCAATGGTGCTTTAAATGTGTGGTGTGAACATGGCCGTAATTAAGATTTGGCGCTAGATAAGCGCGGGTGGTGCTGTGGTCTAAACCACAGAGCCTCGGGTTTGCCGATAAAAAGGTTGGTGGTTCAAATCCCCGTGACGGGGTGAGCTCCCGTTGCTCAGTCCCAGCTCCTGCCAACCTAGCACTTCAAAAGCATGTCAAAGTGCAAGTAGATAAATAGTTACCACTCCAGCGGAAAGGTAAACGGCATTTCCGTTCTCTGCTCTGGTTCGCCAGAAGCGGGTTAGTCATGCTGGCCACATGTATGGCGGCTCCCTCGGCCAGTAAAGCAAGATGAGCACTGCAACCCCAGAGTTGTTCACGACTGACTTAACTGTCAGGGGTCCTTTACCTTTTTTTAAGGCTCCTAACAGTCATGGTCATGTTGATTAGTTTCTGTGGATTTACTCTTGTGTAGAACTCTTGTGTAGAACTCTTGTGTTCTGTGGATTTACTCTTGTGTAGAACTCTTGTGTTCTACTCTTGTGTAGAACGTAGAGACAACCTGTTCTTTTGTACCTGATCACCCTGGAGAAGAGATAAGAACAATGGGCTCAAAAAGTTAAAGGAGGGCAGTTGTGGTCTGCTGCCCACAGGCGATTTAGGATGGTGTGGGCCCTTCCCCTACACAGGGAACTGAACTGAGGGGGCGCAAAGTAATAATAGAAGCTGTCAAAGGGACGAAAATGTGTGTGAGACAGAGAATGAGAGCCAAATGAGGGAGACTGGAAGCACGATTTGTGTCACTGGTTTGTGATGTCAGGCAAACAGAAGGGCTCAGTAGCAGAGAGTCGTCCCCCCCCCAAAAAAAAAAATTCTCTCAAGAGCTTCCCTCCATGTTGCTGTTCCCAGCTCTGTATTGAGCACAGCTGTCAACGTTTCTCTTTTTTTAAGGGAAATTCCCTTATTCCGAATAGGATTCCTCACAAGAAAAGGGAAAAGTTGACAGCGATGGTATTGAGGGCTCTCCCTGCTCCTCTACCTTTGTCCCAGCCATTTAATTATTATTACTAGTATTATTAATCTATCCTTCACCTCAAATCTTAGGGTGGGCCGTAACAAGTAAAGCACAATGTTAAGAACCGTTAAAAAAGCTCGCAACCCCAGAAATAAGGTGGATCCTAAACCGTCCAAAGCCGGGATAAAGAGGTGCATCTTTCCTGCACTCGATGAAAAACGGGATAGTGAAGGTGCCAGACGCAACTCTGCGAGGAGTCCTACAGCTTGGGGGTTTGCCACAGGGAATGCCCCACAACCCCAAGGGTGGTAACACAACCAATAGGGCCCCCTTGGGCATTATTTCACCCCAGCTGAGCACTGCCCCCACCCCAAAAGAAAATTCATTCCCTACAGGAGGACTGAAATCACTCGGCTCAGGGTGATCACCCACCCTCATCCGTCCCCCCAGTTCACCTCAAGGCTTGCCATTCCCCAAAACCCCCTTTAAAGGGAGGGGGCGCTTCACAGAGTGGCTTTCTGAACTGTTGTGTGAAGCCTCACTGTAGGGGGAACAGCTTACCTGGGTCGGCCTGCTGTTCCTCGTGCTGCAGTTGGCATGGCTGCCTATCAGTGGCCACATGAGCTGCAGAACGTGACGACACCTTACATATTATATATATATAGGAAGATATAAAACACTAAAGTAAAATATCCCCCCGACGCTGCCCTTTCCCCCCCACAGGGAGTTTTCCAAAGAGTGTGCCAAATGATAGCCGAAACAGAACCTCACTCATTTTTTTTGTTTTGTCTTTTCCAAAAGAGCACAGAAGCCTTCTGCGTCCCGAAGAAAGCACACCTGCACGAACGCAGGAACACTATATTTATTAGGTCAATTATCCATTTTTTAGCAATACAATTACAGAATTATCACAATGTTGGTTACAAACATACTCAGTATGGGTTTTGATGGTTACAAAGAATAAAAGTCGGGCACTGCAGTCTTGGTGCGAATGTTGGAATACAAAAAAGAAAAAGGGGGGGGGGAGAGAAACATGGGAAAGGGTGGCACAAGAGTGGAGGAGGATGAGCGTCCGAAAGTGATCAAGATGCTTTCATATAAATAACCGTGGCACAAAAAGAGAGAGAGGGAAGAGGGGTTCAGATTCAGAGCCGCCAGGAGGTGCGCTTGCTCCAATTTTAGTAGCTTTTGTTTCCAATGTACAGTGATATATGTATACATATATATATGTATATACATGTATTTTTAATCCCTTGTTAACTTCCACTGAATCAGTAAAAAAAACCCCACAACACATATATTAGTACTGAACTCGTTAATAATCAAGGGGGGGGGAAATGTAAAAGTTTGTTTACCTCCAAGGAGTTAACGCTAAAAAAATTATCTCTCTCTTTTCTGTTTAAATATTATTATTTAAAAAAAATCATGGCAACATAGCTTCCTATAAAGGAATATACACAGAAAGGAAAGCAGATGGAAGATTTAAGAGTTACACGTATGGTACCTGTGACAGTTAAAAGTGATCCAACACTGAAAAAAACCTGTGTGCCAAACACCAAGTTTCTAGATATCTCTATATATTTATATAGTATATATATTTTCCCCATCTTTATTTTTTTATTTTAGAGTTTTTGAAACAAAACAAAATATGCACTTGGAAAAACAACTTCCTAAGGCCTCTCCAAGCTATAAGTTGCTTAGGATTGCAATGAAAGTATTTGCTAATGAGAACTTGGAAAGCAAACGGCGATATATTTCTCACGGGACAGGGAAGAAGCCGGTTTCACTGCCTAAAACATACCTGAGTTTGGGGAAGGAGGGGTGGGCAAACACCGCCAGAGCTCTGCCGGAAAGGAATTGCACAAGCTTTCTCTTGCTACATGGAAATTTTTTCTTCCTTCCTTCCCTCCCCACCTTCTCAACACAACATCAACAAAAAAACACACCTAGCAAAGGAATTTCCCCCCAAAAGGCCAAAAGGTGAAAATGTGCAACAGGCTAAACCTGTGTCAAAGACACAAAAAAGCAACTGAATTAAGAAGAAAAATAAATTCCAAAGGAGGAGAGATATTTCAAATCACAGTAATAGCACTTTGATCCAGCAAGGGTTAGGAGGTGAAGGAACATTATCAGGCTCCTCCAAACCCAACCAAATGGTAAATTCCAGAACAAAATGGCACCGTGTGGATCCAATGAGGAGCTGTACGGAGAAATGGGTTTTCCACCACGCATGTGGCCAAGTGGCTCCACTGGGGTGTGCGTGTGTGCTGCATCTTTAATCCTATTTTGGGGCAGTTTTGCCTTTCCTTACAACCATAAGAACAAGCCGCCTTCTATCAATATTGCTATCTTTCTTAAAGGTGGTAGGTGGGATGGAAGGGAGAGAAGGAAGGCCCTCATTACGTAACGTAAGTTATTAATAGTGTAAAACATCTGCCGAGGCAACTAGATGGAGGAATTTCCAAAGAGCAACTGTTGCTATCAAGCAGTACCAGCTGTTCATTGGTTAACTTTAGCCAACATCTTCAGAAGTGGGTTTTAGGCTTGACACATGGCTAAAAGGATGGAGAGAAACAGACCCTCTTCCCCCACCTCCTTCTCCTGCACTGCTAGAAGCAACAATGCAACAGCAACTTCATTAAGCCAGCATCAGAGAGCAGCATCTCACCGTGTTATGGGGTTACAGAAGGCGGCGAAGGTTCGGCCCATTTCACAAGTCCCTGTAATTTCAGCAGGAAAGACTAAAGCAGGCACCCCCAACCTGAGGCCCTCCAGATGTTTTGGCTTACAACTCCCACGATCCCTAGCTAACAGGACCAGTGGTCAGGGATGATGGGAATTGTAGTCCCAAAACATCTGGAGGGCCAAAGGTTGGGGATGCCTGGACTAAAGCAAGTATTCAGCGTTCTTGTAGAAAACTGATGGGACTTAAAAACATGTCTACAAATCTCTCCCACCTAAATCTCAATGGGACTTGGGAGCATGTAGCTTTTGAGTGGATTGTGTCTGATGCTTATAGGCCAGTGACAGCTTCCCAAGCCTCAAATAACTGGCCTCTCTACAAGCAAGACCAGCTTCAGTTGCCTGTAAGGCAAACGGTACTTGATCTGCTGTTAAGCGGCTGGAGAATCCCACGGGACAGATAAGTCAATGGTTAGCCAGATTTGCTGTGTTGTGTTGAAGTGGAGCAAGGGAGCTGGGAGGGGAGTGTCCTTCCATGACAACTTGACTATCGGGCTGGGTGGTCAAGTCCATTTAAAAAAGCCTCTGCTATTCCTTTCGTCCTAACCATGCCAATCTGATTTAAAAATGAAACCCGAATCTGCAAGGGTAGGGGAAAGACACAAATTAAAAAAAACTGGAAGAGGATGGAAACTGTGAGGATTCTCCCAAGACTCATTCATTCTTTTAAAACGGCTTTGTTTCGAGGGCTTTCTGGAACAATAACAACAAAATAATAATCCATTTCTTAAACGCTGAAGTACACTCCCATGGAGAAAGTTGCTCAAGAGGCAGGGAGAAGGCAGATTTATAATATTGAAATATCAGGTTTGTTTTGCAGTGTGGTTGTTTGGGGAGAGAAAGGAAGACTCAATCTGTTTCGAGTGAGTTTATTACCTAGTGTGGTGGGGGAAAACAGAGTTGAGAACTCCCTTCTCTTTCTCATGCACAGGAGTGGGATCCCCTACAGTGCTGTACATGAAAAATGTGGCCTAGTATATAATGTGAGCACTATTACTAAAATAGAATACTCTTTCAGAAATCAACACCTTGCTTTTAAAATGCCAGCCCCCCCCAGCCCCCAGAAAATCACCAGGAGCTTTAAAAGGGGGGATACTTCAACATAAATCAACAGAGGCACATGGTAGCCTTTGCACATGAACCTGGCACAGAAAATTAAACCCATTTCAAAGGCAATTGTTAAAAAACCCCAGAAAAACCCCACAGACACTTCCAATTCTGTCTCCCCTTTTTAGCAGGCTAGAGGATCTAGCTTTGTATACGCTATATATTTAAAGCACGTGGCTTTCTCCAAAGAATCCTGGGGACTGTAGTCTGCCTCTCAAAGAGCTCCAAGTTCCAGAGCACTTAAGAAACTACAGCTCCCATGATTTTTGTACGCGCACAATCTTTAAATTAGTACCTATCATGTGGTTCTTTTTACCTCTGACTCCCAAAGGTTTTTCTTCAAAAGGTCTCTGCTCAAGAGCAGAAACCTCAAGAGAATTCCAGATTTCCCAAGGTTTTAGTTTCAGTTTTATTTTTAAAAAGAACCTTCTAAAAATTCAAGGAGCAGAAATTGAAAATATCTTCCGGGTTTGTCCAGACATCAACCTTGGTTACACTTACACAACCAACTGAGGGCCACTGTTAACATTCGCTCATTAAAAGTTAGCATATTCCCAGTGGAAAAGGGAGTATTCCTAAGGTACCATTTTTCTTTGCTTCCAAGGTCCTAAGAATTGCAAATAGCAGAGATATGGAAGCATGGCTCATATGCAACACAGTCAAGCCCTGTGTGCTAAGGAAATTGGGTAGCAACAACCAGCTCAGAGACTATCCCGACAGACAGAAGCGATCTAGATTCTTCTAAAAGATTTGAGGCAAAAACTTCCCGTTGTCTTCACTTGGGAAAGAAAGGGGGGGGGAGAGCATTTCAACTAAACCTTTCGTTGTGCGAACTTGGAAAGACCTGGCAAGCCTAAACAACCCTCAGTCACAAATACACACACAAATAAAAGCAACTCGCTTCTTTCCAACATGCAATTAATTGGGCGTATCCCAGAATGCAGCCAACATGATTTAGACTGGATTGAGGGCGAGGAGAGGGGGAAGAGGAAAGAAGACTATTTTTTTAACAAAACCAATAACCCATCCATGGTGGTACCTGGCCTAAAGCATGGGAGGCGGAATAAATGGGGGGTTGAAATGCTCAGGAACAACAACTGTTGATAAAAGAGAGTGATGTCAAATTGGTGGAAGGGGTTCAACACGGAGGAGCCTTTTCCTTCCTCTGAAAGATCATTTGCAAGCAAGAACCAAGGAGGAACATGCAGGAGAAAATGAGCCGAAAGAACTCTGGCCTCAACTGCTTCAGGACTGCACTTGGGAGTTGCCATTTTTCAAAGCTCCCGTTTGTTATAATCTTGAAATACAAGTGTCCACCCCACCCCCACCGATTAAGAAGCAAGTATACTAGGTATCAAGCTTCTAGCTCAGCCTACACTGGAGTAATCCCACAGAAGATAATGAGGCTATGCCAGTACTTGCAAGAGAGGAATTCCCTTGAAACCTTGTCTTGAACAAGGTTTAAGGGCTCGTTTAAGGTTTAAGGTGGCCCGTAATTATTATTTAAGTCAGCAAGCTTTGCTGGTTTGTATAGTAGTTACAGCAATCCAATTTATTTATTTGTTTTTGCTCTCTGAGGCAATATAATTGGCATTGTTGTATTAATGGTAGTGTTTTGCAACTTTGGGCTTTTCTTTTTTTACTTTCGTCTAGAATGGCAACAGACGTGCTGCGACTTTAGCAATTGGATTAAAGCCTTTGACTCCCAACAACCAATCTATTCTGATGTTTGGTTTACAGCAGCTAAACTGTGGCTCTTTAGATTGGCAACTGCCAACTTGGTGCCTCTCCAAACGTCTTGGACTCCAACTCCCATCAGGCTTGTGAAGGCTGAAGGAAGTTGCTAATCTGACAGCGCATGGAGGGGCTCACGTTAGCCCACCCTGGTTCGACACTCAAACTGTCAGTCAAAAGCAACTTTTAATGGCCACTTACTGGGAACCCAGCCTGCTGAAGATCTGACGTCTGCAGCATTGGGTATCTATGGGGATTACAGTTGCAAAGTTTTATTCTGAGGGACACTTCTGCTAGAAAAAGTTTTTTACATGATGGGTGGGTGGGGAAATGGCATTTTTATTTCAGAATACTTGTCCAGCTCATGGAGACTTGTGGTTCAGAACTACACCCGGAAAGCACCACGCAGGGAGGTTGATTCTGGGCCTGCAACAATATTCCAGGAAGGTCTTCCTACCATGTGTGGTTCTGGCATCCGGCAATTCCCATAATAACAAGAGATGCTAAAGCCACAGCTCCAAAAATCAACACCTTTTGTCTCAAGCAGGGTGTTGACGAGATACCCCACCCACCACGCACAGGGAAGGAAGTATCTTTTAAAAAGGCACTATTTTTTAAAAAACAACAACAACAACCAAAAACTATCAGCCTGCAATATTCCAGGTTAAAAGCCAAACACTATTGCTATTAATTAATTGAGGAACTCTCAGCAACTTCCAAAGCCACCGACCGCTAACTGTTGATGCTCTCTTTTGACGACAGATTGCCCCCACTTGCTTTCCATCCCCCACCCAAAATCTTCACAAATTAAAGGGGGGGAGGGAGATGAATGAAACTCATTCCAAACACTAGAGAGGCTTTTTCTCTCTCTCCTGCTTTCCCTGGGCAACTTGTAAACCCCCTGAAAATAGAGGAGAACACCTGACAAAACCCTTAACCACAGAGACACTGCCTGCATCTCTGCATTAAGAAGTGAGGTAAATAGGAACTCTCCCCCTCCTTCCTTTCCAGCCTAGCTCACTATATGCTACATAGGTCTTTCAAAGTTCACTTACTACCTCGGTGTTAAAAAGATGGTACAATTAAAAGAAAAACCCACAAGCCACACATATACCCCAAAATTAAGACAAGCTAGTGAGACAGGCATAGTTATTTTTTTTGTTTTGCTTTTTAAAAAACATATTATGACAGACATTAAAAATATATATATAAAAAGAAGAGTTCTGGCTGTTTTAACGTAAAAAATAATAATGATGAAGCTGAGAGAGAAAGGAAGAAAGACAGACCTGTTGTGCTTATTCTTTTTTTTGTGTGTTTTTTTTGGCATTATCCATTGACCCCTGCAAGCTGTACAATAAAAAAAAAGATCATCTGCAGATATTAAAACAAAACCAGATTTTTTCCCCTTAATAATGACGACCAATCTAATTAGCACAAGCAAGTTATAGCCTTTAGAGAGAGCCCGTTTCAAAGACAGGGGAAAGGGGAAGGAATAGCATTTGCTATGCTTTGCTTACGGTGCTAAACATCTAGTTTACCTCTGTAAACTTAGTATTTTAAAAAGACATGCCTTTGAAACCGCCGAAGAACGTTGAAGCTCCTAGCTTTGTTATCTAGTACATGTATGTATATAAAGTCTCCATCACTTGAAAATACACCCCTTCGTGAAAGAATCCTACCGAGTTTAAAAAAGCAAATGCAAAAGGGCAGAAATTGTGACTTGAAAGCCATTGGTCCGAGACTCTTTTCCTAAGGACGGGCTGGTCCGCTTGAAATCTCCCGGTCCTATTACAGAAAACTCTTTTGCCCTGTACGGAAAACAAAAACAAAATAAAATAAAGCAAGAAAGCTGAGAGACTAACATATTCTGCCAGTGGTTACCACTTTCAGGTGAACACTGGCCCATTTCGGGTGCTCTTTGAAAGTGCAAACGGTGGTTCAGACGGAGGCCGAGCAACCAAGCATCACTTCTCAGGAGGAAATTCTTCGCCATGTCTCTTCGTAAGGCAGCAGAAGGCAAGAAGCGAAGATTTCCCCCACCCCTTTTCTTTTTTTCGTGTGTGTATGAATATCTGTGGTTACTTTTTTCAACAATCCGTATCGAATAAGTTTTTTCCTTGTTTTTACACTGTATAACAAGAATAATCATATGGTCATATAGGACTTCAAACTTGTCACAAGCACTGGTCAGTGGGCACCCTCCTTATCCACCAATTAATAATGCAACTCTCAGAATGGTTTAATGGCTTTATTGCTCTCTTTCCATTCTCGCAGAGATTTCGTGTAAAGTAGCTTCGCTTGGACAAAAAATAAAAAATAAGAGAACATCGTTAGGGGTGTTTATGGGGTTGTTTTTTTCTTCCTTTATATATATATTTATATATATGTATATGTATCTCTTTCTCTCTCTCTCTCAAGTTGAAAACGTGAGCCAAAACAAAACATGCCGTACTCATGCTGGTAAGAATTTTAGCACACATTCGTCTGTTATGGTCACTCCATTCAAAGCTGAGATTCCTCCCCTCCCCGAGAAAACAGGGGATTTCTAATGGACTGGACCAGTGTTTCAATGCAATTGCAGCCCCCTCAGAGAGAGAGAGAAAAAAACACACACAAAAAACTACATGGTTTCAAATTTCACAGTATGACTTTTCCCATGTAAATTTGGGGAGGTGGGAACAGAAGAAGGGGGGAAAAAATAGTCGTTGGTAAAATTGACCAAGGTCCTTAGCAAATCTGTCCTTCGGCGGTCTGAGACATCAGGAAAGACTGGACAACTTCTTCAGTGGATTGCAGGCTGGTGCTCACGTCCTCGAGGGCGTCTGTCACTGAAAACTGCCGATCCCGCAACCGGTTCCAGTTGGCCAAAATGTTGTGGTACTCAAATACCTTCTCGTAATTGCCAATGGAATTGTACAGTTTAATGAGGCCCCTGTAGTCATATTCTAGTCCACTGTAACCTTCCCCAAAAAGCTTCTTCCCTAAAAATAAACAAAATGTGAAGGAGAATTAATGCTGTACTTTTTTCCAGTGTTGCCTAACAGAGAAGCCTGCTCTTTATTTTATTTCATTAAGTAAAAATCCGATACCTTTCAGCTGGAGTACATTTTACCATGTTCTCCGATCTGGGGTGGGGAAACTGTGTCTTCCCTCTTCTCTCCAGATGTTGCCTGACTACAACTCCCACCCTCCCTGACCACTAGGCATGCTAGCTGGAGCTGATGGCAGGCAACGTCCAGCAGCATATCAAGAGCCACAGGTTCCCCACCCCCAGCCTAAAGGAACAGAGAAGACTTTGCTATTTATACTGGTTCCCGCATGCCCTCAAAAATAAAATCTTGAGTGTGTGCTATCCCCACCACCTCAAATAGACCTGGAAGAAGGATCTACAGTCATACCTCATGTTGCGTTCGCTTCAGGTTACATCTTTTCAAGTTGTATCCCGCGGCAACCCAGAAGTACTGGAATGGTTACTTCCGGGTTTCGCCGCTTGCGCAGAAGCGCTAAATCGCGCCGCGTGCATGCGCAGCACTTCTGGATGCGAACACTTTGAGTTGCAGACGTGCCTCTGGGATGGATTACGTCTGCAACTCAAGGTTCCACTGTATTTATGATTAAACCAACCAAGATTGGTGGAGAAGGGACAGCATTTGCTCCCTTCAAACATCTCCCCCAAAACCATGTCCAGCGTGTTGGACCTCATCACCAGCTAAAACGAAGCACAATTATTTGCTCACAGGCCTCCGCTATTGCCTTAGGTCCTTTACGTTGGGATGGATCCAAATGCTGTGTGCACAGAAAGCCACCTGTCTTTCCTGCTCCCTCTGCAAGAAGCTTCTCTGAAAAGCACTGGTTAGGCAGCAGGGGCCTCTGGTGGGAGAGCATTCTTGTTTTGTAGGCAGGCTATTGTAGTACTTTTATCGGTGGATAGTTCCCACATTGCTTGGCTTGTTGTTACTCCCTTTGCTTTATCAAGCTATTGCTAGCCACCCCTGGGTTTTCTTTTAGAAGAAAAGGGGTCTTGAATGAATGGATGGGTGAGCAATTGTCTTGAAATGGGTGGAAGAACCTTGTGGCAGCGGGATGCTCATGGCAACAATTCCCTGTCACAAAACAAACCCGCCAAGGAAATATCCCTCCCCTGAAAACAGTACAAACCCAGGCAACAACACAGCACACCCATCCTTTTCTGCGGCCACACCCCAAAATAACACAACCACAACAATATACAGTGGTGCCTCGCAAGACGAAAAGAATCCGTTCCGCGATTCTCTTCGTCTAGCAGTTTTTTCGTCTTGCGAAGCAACCCCATTAGCGGCTAAGAGGATTAGCGCTCTTAGCGGTTTTAAGTTAGCGGCTTAGCTGCTAAAAGGCTATTAGCAGCTTAGCGGCTTAGAAAAAGGGGGGGAAAGCGGGGGGGGGGGAATGGCGAGACTTGCAAGACATTTTCGTCTTGCGAAGCAAGCCCATAGGGAAATTCGTCTTGCGAAGCGCATCACAAACGGAAAACCCTTTTGTCTAGCGGGTTTTCCGTCTTGCGGGGCACCACTGTAATAGGCAATGCTCCCCACCATTCTCCCAGCGCCGATCCCAATTCTTACCATGCAACAGAGAATCCCCTTCCCTCCCCCTCTAGCTCAAACCTCTTTTCTTTAAAACTAAAGCTTGACTGGGCAGGAGGGAGAACAAATCAACAGCTACAGCTGCCCTCTACTTTTCCCCTTCTAGGAATGATTGTGGGGCCCAGAGGCATTCTGGGAAGATGAAACAAAAATGGCTGGAAACAAGAATTTGCCTCCCAATGACTAATTTTCTTTTAATGATAATAAAAAAGAAACTTGAACAATCATGAGGGGCTGGAGGGTGCCAAGGGAGGTGTTGGGGAACCCACAGACACCTTGCTGGCAATCTCAGTGGTAAGCCAGAAACCATAGCATAGTTATCTGTTCCTGGCTCATGCTGGATGATAACAAACCAGACTCATGGTCTGGCCATAATCCTAAACTAAGGGTTGTGATTTGTGATGGAGGCAAACAGCTCAGGAAGACATGTCTGCTGCAAACAGTTAACTATGGTTTTGCTGTAACGCAGAAACTGAGGCAGTGTGTGTTGTTAGGCTAGACTGAGACACGGTGCCTGATCTAAGGTCATTCAGTGAGCTTCATTGGAGAGCAGGAATTCAAAGCCTGCCCCAAATCCAAGCCAGGTGCGGGGAACTTTTGGCCTTCCGGATATTGTTGGATGCCGGCTCAAAGCAGGCATGGCCAAGGATGATGGGAGCTGTAGTTCAGGAACTTCTAGAGGGCCTATGGTTCCCCACCTCCTAACCATCCTTCCTTTTTTACCTGGACTTCTTCCAGGGGAAAGAGAACCTCACCTACACGCCTCCCCCCCCCGAGAGACAACATCACTGTATATGCAAGCTTAGGCTCAAAAGTGTTTACACACCAATTGCTATGGATCTCAAATAAAGCTTTTCGGCGTTTTCGTACTGATTCATGTCGTAGTTGTAGAGCGAGGCAAGGTGTCCCACGGAAAGAGCAACTTCGTAATCTTCTTGGCCGAGAAGCTGCTCCTTGATCTGGATTGCTTTGATGTGCATCTCTTCCGCTTCCTGGAACACGCCCACAAAATTAAGACAATGGTGAATTGCCCGTCTTTTACTAGATGATTGTCAAGAGAGCCAGAGATACAGTTCAAGGAAGACATGTCATTAATATTTGCTGCCCCCCCCCCAAATAATTACCTTAAATTTCCTCATGGACTGGTAAAGCCTGCCAAGGTTACCATAGTGTTTTGCCGTCTGGACGTTGAACTCCCCAAAGGCTTTCTTGGCAAGCTGGAGCGAAGACAGGTGTAAGTCGTGGGCTTCCTGGAGTAGCCTTTGTTCTGTCTCCTTATTGTGACAGTCAATGGCAATCTCCTCCAAGATCAGTGCTTGCACGGGAAAGGGGGGAGGAAAGAGACACATTAGAAGACCCAACACCATTAAAGGCATCAGCTAGGACCCTGAGGAAGTGAATGCTGACTTCTGCATTATCTGAAAAGTCCTTCAGCTCAACTCTAGCCCTTTCCCAACTCCAATTATTGGGCTGCTTTGAAGGTGTACGCAAAGCTCAAACACATGAGCCACTTAGAGCTGACCCTGCCTTTAGAAAGAGTGAGGCGTGGGCCTCAGGTGGAAGATGCTGGACACAGTGGAGAGAGGCACTGTTTTCCCACACATTTCCTTCCCTACCTGTCCTTGACATTTGCTACAGTAAAGGTAAAGGGACCCCTGACCATTAGGTCCAGTCATGACTGACTCTGGGGTTGCGGCGCTCATCTCGCTTATTGGCCGAGGGAGTCGGCGTACAGCTTCCGGGTCATGTGGCCAGCATGACTAAGCCGCTTCTGGCGAACCAGAGCAGCGCACGGAAATGTCGTTTACCTTCCCGCTGGAGCGGTACCTATTTATCTACTTGCACTTTGACTTGCTTTCAAACTTCTAGGTTGGCAGGAGCAGGGACCGAGCAAAGGGAGCTCACCCCGTTGCAGGGATTCGAACCGCCGACCTTCTGATCAGCAAGTCCTAGGCTCTGTGGTTTAACCCACAGCGCCACCCGTGTCCCTTATTTGCTACAGTACCAGCAGTTATTTCTGCTCCCTAAGCGCCACAGCTAAAAGCAGCATGGAGGTACCTTTAACTCTTTTGGAGGAGGCAAGGAGAAGATGGTCTTCTGGGAGAATGTGGGTTATGATGCCAATCGCACGCTCCGCATGGAATCTAAGGTCAAGAGCAAACAGACACTCATGAGGGGGAAATCTCTTGGAAAGTTACTGAGTAGTCAACACAGAAACAGCAAGTTCCCAGAAGGGCCATCTAAATCATGCACAGGGGGCTTTGTGGGAATTGCATTAGCATACTGTGGGTTTTTGTAGACACTGGGCAGCTGTTTAGCACATGCTAAGAACACGGGGGGAGGAACAGGATGAAAAAGACTTATGTGAGAGATTCTGGTATGTTTGCAAGACATCTTGGGAAAAGGCACAACTTTCACCTTAGAAACAAAGACTGCATTTGTCTGCCTGGTGGTAAGGAGATGGGAGGAAATTCTCCTCCTGACAAAGAAATAATTTTTTCTCTCCATCTCCCATACTCTCTTCAGGATCATCCAACAAACCTAACTGGCAAGTTTAGGGTGGCGGGGCAAAGTCTTCTTTGCACAACATGTTAACTTGCAACTCAGCTCATATTTAAGAACTACATTGGCTGCCAGAGGTCACTAGGAATTCTACGTAAGCAAGAGAGAGGGCGCCTGGAAGCATATTTTTTACTAGCCTGCTAAGAGACTAGAAGCTTCCATGTCCAAGTTAGTAGTGTATTTACAAGGCTGTCATGACCACATTTTGAAAGCTGTCTGTAAGGGAGAGACTCAGTGGGACCTGCAACAAAATATTGCAGTATCAAGTGTTTCTGTTCAGTTTGTCCTGGTTCCCACCCAAAACCAATAAAACCAACTTTTTTGTAAGTAAATAAATGCATGTTTATTATTGCAGAGTATCAATACCAACTCAGCATCATGGAAAGAGTAGAATACAGTCCAAATACTATTAACAAGGCCAAGGGGGAGGAACAGTAAGAAGCACAGGATCAGGTGGTCAAGATGCAGTAGTGATGGCCTCCCACTTCAATGGCATTAAAAGAAGGAAAACAAAAAAAAATTCCTTCCAGTAGCACCTTAAAGACCAACTAAGTTAGTTCTTGGTATGAGCTTTCGTGTGCATGCACACTTCTTCAGATACACAGTGTGCATGCACACGAAAGCTCATACCAAGAACTAACTTAGTTGGTCTTTAAGGTGCTACTGGAAGGAATTTTTTTTGTTTTGACTATGGCAGACCAACACGGCTACCTATCTGTAATTAAAAGAGGGATTAGACAAATTCACAGAGCATAGGGCAACCAATGGCTGCTAGTCATGATGGCTATCTACTATCTCCAGTATCAGAACACTGATTTTTTTTAAAAAAAATACCTCAAAGTGTTTTACAGAGAATATAAAACACACGTTGACATTCCTAGCACAGCAGCCCAGGTGGCTCCAAAAGTTCTCCAAACAACAACAGCAACCACAAAAAGCTTTGCCGGCAACAAAGGGAATGGACGTGACTTGCAATCTCTTCCACATGAGGTCTGAAGTGGTACAGCCCCAGCAAGACTATACCACATGCTTTTTAACATTTGAATATATATATATTTTTTACATTACGCAAGAAGAAAACCTTTGGGTCCAGAAAAGTGTAAACAGAGTACTCACAGCGCATTGTCAAACTTCCCAGAACTGTACTGGTGAACGTAGGAAGAGTAAGCCAGGTCTTCGTGAGCTGTCGCGACATGGATGTTTTTGCCCCCAAATACTGACTGTCTGATGTCTAGCGCGGTCTGAAACAATTTGAGTGAGAGACAATATTCAATTAGCTAGGACCCGGAAGCTGCCATAGACATTTTTAAAAGCATGGCTCGTGTGGGACAGATGAAGCATTATTTGAAGTAGTATCTCACACAGCTGTCGACACAAATCGCCAATGGGTAAAATCTAACTGGAAACATGATGTTGATGATTAGTTAAATTTCTATACCACCCTTTACCTGAGGACCACCAGGCTTTTGCAAATGAGGCTGGGCTCACAGGGAGCCTGAGCTGCTGCGTCCTTCTTGGGCAACCTGCAGCTGGAGGGTGGCTGAGAAGGACGGGGTGGCTCACAACACCTGCACCCCCCCCCAACTGTGCCTGAGCAATGGCCTTCTCTCATAGCATATAAGTAATAAATTTATTATTTTTGTTATAAAGATCATCTGTCTGCCTAGACATACTTTCACAAAGCCAACACCTTGGAATAAACCAGAGGGACCATATGGCCATGGGCTTCTTTGTTTGCAAATAAAATAATGCTGTGCCATATTGCAAAAGAATGGTTTCTTGCAGTATGTCCTCCAAGTACTTTCAACTCATGGAAAATTGTTTCTAGAAGAGCAATTTGCCAGACTTATTGAATAAGTTGTCTAAATCAAATGTCTTCTAGAATTGTGCTAGTTGCTCTTGCTGCTGTTAATAGGTGTCAAATGAGTTCTTTATCTCTTTTTTAGATCTCTATCCACGTCTATATATAGATCTAAAAGAGCCAGGTAGGGGGAGGGAGTGATGTTCGGTCTTGTTATTAAAGAAATCTCCCTAAAGATTCCCCCCCCCCCGCAAGAAATCTCAATTTTAGGGCACTCCCAGCAATTTCAATAATAAAACTTGTGCCCACAAAACCACTGGGAGGGAAGCAAATCCCTTTTAGTTCTCCACCCACAACACTCTGGACCTCTTTTTCGGGTTTCTTGCCAAGGGATACTGCTATTTTTTTCTTCTACTATTTTCATAAAAATTGCCCATAAAACACTAGAGGAGATTAAGTGAATCCTCTTTTAACTGCCCCAAACTGCAAAGGTTGTTCTTTCAGGAAAATCACTACAGCTTTCCTTCTGAAGTCTGGCAGGATTAATCTGCTACCATGGGGCTACCATGTTGCCTGCAAATTTTATCTGCTTTGGCAAAAAAAGTAAGTACAGTAACAAAACTTCACCTGCAGTAAAGAATTCTGAGCAGAAATAAACACACACATGCACAAAACCACTTAATAGAATCCTGAAGGCTGCACAGACGCAGCAAAGGACCTTACCTGATAAATTGCAACCGACTGGCATATATTGTCTACGTTGAGTAAGTAAAACCCATAGTCTAGTAGTGTGTCTGAATATTTTGGGTGTTTGGCTCCAAAGTGCTCCCTGGAAGATAGGAACACAACTTAGAACCACAAACAAGATGCAGCAGGCAATAACATTCGGAAATGGGGCATATACTCACCGTGCAAGATACACCGCATGTTTTATTAACTGTTCGGCCTTCTTAAATTCACGTTTTACAACACAAGCCTAAGCCAAGAGGAAGAGAAAGCAGGCATGAGAGACCATGAATATGCAAAGGCATTCTTGCCTGCCTATGGGCAGCCACTGTTCAAGAATAGCCATCGACTCTGCTAAACTGAGTGGAAAAGCCTGCCCCATTAAAAAGGGGGAAGACAGAGCAATGAATTGTCAGGAAAAGCATAAAGATGAACACGTCTGAAATGCTGCTTTTGGAATTCATTTGTTGATTTTCTCCTCTATGGCTGATTCTTAACAGTACTAGATGCTGCCCACTTCCCTCTGCAAGAAACACGGAATGGGTTCCATCCCTGCTCAATTGCATGCAGGCTATTTGTAGAAGAGTTAGATTTACCTTAGAAGCTTGCCGTAAAACGTCCACAACTACTTTTACTGGCAATCCAACTGAGATCTCCTTCATGGCTTCTATGCACCATTTGTAAGCCTGTGGAGCACCCAAGGATATTGTCAGGATTATTCAAGTTTTTTAAAAAAAGCCTCAAATTTTCTATGTGCTGTGCAGAATTATTCCCCCCCCCCAAAATGCAAAAGCAGCTCTTGTTTGCAGACTTACAATCTGATAGCCAAAGGAAAAAAGGAAACAGGGAGGGATGATGAAACCAAGCAAATTCAGGTTCCAGCAGGATCACTGTCAATGGTTGATGCGCCTGGGCATTTGCCAAGAACCCTCAATGCAGCAGGGGATCCATTCAGAAGAGCCTCTTAGACCTGTTCCTCCTCTTCATTGGAAACCTGCTGGCTCACCCTGCCTCTCAATAACTGAAGTAGCGAGCAGGAGGAGGAGCTGCCACTGCCTTCCTCCTCACTGGCTCTGTCTGGCACCAATGAGGAAGCAGAAGCAGCAGTGGCAACAATGGCAGAGAGAAGACACAGTGAGGGAAGCAGAGGGTGTAATTGAGGGCGTCAAGCCCAAGGGCTGTCCATCAAAACTGGTACTGGGATCCAATATCACAATACACACAAACACATGACTTTATTCACTGAAGTACCGCTCTGCCTTTTGAACTAAATCTCTATGGAGATGAGAGTGTAATCTCTAATGAAAATCAGAGAGAAGGCTGGGAGTGGGGAGGCAGGTGCAGAACCCCCAATGGGGCTTGCAGATCCCTTCTCCTGTCCCGACTTCCAAGCCTGGCCATTCAAATAAAGTTTAGGAGCAGTTGGTTCACAGGAGCCTCGCTGCCCCACCACTTATCTTTTTACCTTTGGCCTCCTGGCCAAAGGGAGCTCTCCAGTCCTTAATCCAGCACCTAAGATGTTCACAGAAATCTAAACAGAGGCTCCCAAGAACTTGGCTTTCAAACTCTGAACTGTGAGAATCTGCTGTTCTAGCAAGACTATCAGCTGTTGTGACGGTGTGGCTGGGTGTCTGTTGAGGTGTAAAGCTGAAGTCAAGAGCAGAGGAACAGGCAGTCCTAGGGAAAGGCACTCTGGCAAACTGCATGGAGCCAAGAGTCCTGCAAGAGATCTTGGAGCCACCAATCTCCAGGGTGATGGAAGGTCCGTAGCCCAGTGGTAGAGCATCTGCTATGCATGCAGAAGGTCCCTGTTTCAAATCCCAGCATCTCCAGGTAGAGCCAGGGCAGACTCCCTATCTGGAACTCTGGAGAGCCGCTGCCAGTCAGCGTAGAGAATACTTAGCTAGATGGCCTGACTTAATATAGGGCAGCTTCCTATGTTCCTAAATTGTTTGTTCCCAGCTGAGGATTTAAACACTATCCCAACAAAGGCTGCGAAAACACTTCGGTTCCTGCAAACTCTGGCACTTGAACCTGAGCCAAGTGCTAGCTTTAGCCAAATGCTAATTTTATTTGGCACCACCTTACCAGCTGGAATTCTGTCACCAAACCTCAGTGAAACCTGCTTTTGTCTGCCCACGCGCTGCTGCCGAGTGAACCCACAGAACACTTTGTGCTGGAAAGAATAGCTGGCCTGTTCTTACTACATAGGAAGCTGCCTTGTACCAAGTCACTGGTCCGCCTAGTTCAGCACTGTCTACACAGAAGCGTTTCAGGTGGAGGCCTCTCCTAGTTTGGCCCGAGATGCCATCGGGGATTATTATTAAATATATTCATACTCCGTCTGTCTCCCAAGTTGGGATTCAAAACAGCTTACAACATTTTAAAAACATAATTGTAAGACACAGATTAATAAAGGCAAGCTAGTTAAAAACAACAGTTAAAATACGGCAAAACGCATTTCGAACTGGCATTAAAATATTGATTGCCCTGACAGCGATCAACATGGTCTGCACCAGGTTTTCAAAGGCCTATCGGAATAGGAAGATCTTAGCCTGCTATCAGAAAGACAGCAAGGAAGGAGCCAGTCTAGCCTCTCTTGGGAGGGAATTCCACAATATGGGAGTAGCCACAGAAAAGGCTCTCTCATGTCACCACCAAGCATGCTTCTGGTGTTGGTGGGACCGAGGGAAGGTGCTCGACTGAGGATCTTAGCACTGAAGCTTCTGCATACAAAAGACATGCTCTGCCACTGAGCTACTTCCCATGTGGAGACATTTTAGGCTGGATTCTGCGAAAGACGCTCACCTCATCGTAATGGCTCTTTGCAAAGAGCAGGGCACACAGCTCCCCATATAGAGCAGCTTTGTTGGCTTGCTGGCCGTGCTTTGCTAGCTTGTCCATGTAAGACTGCGCTAATTTGAACGTTTCTTCTCCCAGGTGGTATTTACAGTTGCCATTCCGGACGTGCAGCAACCTAGAGCAAGACACAAAAGGATCTTGAAACCTTGAGCGGGAAAGTTGCTGAGCGATTCAGACTATTAAAAGGCTTTGTGATCTTGCATCCTCAAATGAAACACGGAAGCTTCTCATCACCGTTAAATAGTATTTTAACATCCTAAGTAATTTCTTTAATGCATGCCGCCAAACCACAGGCAGGAAGACACGTTCAGAGGTAGCAGCCTGGTTCAGATGCAAATGTTGGTTCAACAAACCATTGTTTACTGGGTCAAGAAGTAGTATTTCGCCCATGTGTTCCTCTTCCCCTCTCCTGGATGACGCAATGCAAGACCTTGGCGGTTTGTTAAACCAGCTTCCAGTGACTGGGTTGGCCTTTGTCTACAGACCAAGATAGAAACCAATTCTAGTTTGTAGTCAGGGATTAAACCACAGTTGTCCAGTTCAGATGCAACAGGAAACTCTGGTTTAACAAACCAAAATGTTCTGCATTGTGGTGTAAAAGACAAGTGTAATGAGCTCACTGTCGAGCCAGTATATCACAGAATACCAGGTGCATTTTAAAAGCATGCAATAAAAACACAGGATTGAAAAATAAAATAATTTATCCTTATTGGAAAAGAAATACTGCCCCTGACCTCAATTACAGATTTAAAATATGGCATACTGCAGATGTGTCTGAGGTATTTTGCTTTCTGAAGACTTAAAGGGAGGATAATACTGATGGATTTATGAGAAAGTAGATTTTGCTTGTGGCATTGTAGAACAACGAATTACAAGACATTACACAGCTGTGTGTGTGTTTTATTTATTGTGAATTGCTATGATTAATGAGTGGTTAATGAATTTTGTAGTAATCATATGAGTTGTACAGTTTGTAAATTTTTTTTAAATAAAAAAAGCACATTCCTTTCCCAATTTTTTTCTGAATACACCAAAGGATTGTACTTTGGACACATGCCTCTGGTAATCTGACCATTTAATTCAGTGAGTGTGTGACACCAATAAACTGGCCAGAGATTAAGGGTTATTTTACAAGGCACTACAGCTCCATACACATCACATGTTTAAAGCACATTCCCTCCCACCACCAAAAGAATCTTGGGAAGAGCAGTTCACCCCTCACAGAACAACTCCAAGCACCCTTAACAAACTAGTTTCCAGGATTCTTTGGAGTGAGGAATGTGCTTTAAATGACTTTCCAGTGTTTGCTGAAGACTTCTCTTTGCTTGCCAGGCTTATGCAGACAAGAAAAATATGTTTCATGGTAAGTCAGCTGGTGGTCCTTTTTTGGGGTATTGTTCTTAATGTATTTTTAATCGCTGTAAACTTCTCTGAATTTTTAAAATGAAATTCCAGTATGGAAATATATTTTATAAAACAATAAAGAGATAAAACATATGGTGTGGACGCAGCCTGCATGTGACTGAAAGCACTGGAAGGAGTGCCGCCACAATCACCCTCCTGTTCAAATAGCCTCCCCTCACCCACTTTAAGATGCCTCCCGGGGGGGGGGGGAGGCTCTTGGCTTTTAAACAACCAGGACATGTCTGCTCCAGAGCAACCAAAGAAGCTTCTCCCCATGACAGAGCAGGCAAAACTTTTTTTGGGGGGTGGGGGGAATGGTAAGATATCTGGAAGTTCATTCCCACCATAGATCTCAATTCCTAGACAAGTGAAAGTTACTCTGTTTAATCCACCTTAAGTAGTAATTTATTAAAGGTAAAGGGACCCCTGACCATTAGGTCCAGTCGTGGCCAACTCTGGGGTTGCGGTGCTCATCTCGCTTTATTGGCCAAGGGAGCCGGTGTACAGCTTCTGGGTCATGTGGCCAGCATGACTAAGCCGCTTCTGGCGAACCAGAGCAGCGCACGGAAATGCCGTTTACCTTCCCACCGGAGTGGTACCTATTTATCTACTTGCACTCTGACGTGCTTTCGAACTGCTAGGTTGACAGGAGCAGGGACCGAGCAACGGGAGCTCACTCCGTCGCAGGGATTCGAACCACCGACCTTCTGATCAGCAAGCCCTAGGCTCTGTGGTTTAACCCACAGCGCCACCTGCGTCCCTAGTAATTTATTAGGGAAAGCCTAAAAGTGAATATAAAGCATTCAACGAAGCCCCGAGCAGGTGAGTGTGTTCTTGCAAGGACGACTAGGAATAATTCCAAACAGTCATCTTGTACTGGAATGCTATTAGTGCATTGAGTTGCACATATTAATAAAACAGGAATAGGGTCTGTCTCCTCTTCCAGCCTTTTTTTTTTTTTAAACGACAAAGTCCTCTGCCAGTTCTGCAGTACAAGGATCTGCAGGAAATCACAGCTAAGCATTAAGTCAGCACAATCCCCCAAGAGTCAATAATAAGCAGGAGGAGGACGATGGGGGGGGGGGGGCCGACAGCAGTGACCTGGCTCTCCAGGCAGGAAATGTCACCTTGTTTGCACATCAGCAGCACACAGCAAGATTGATTGAGACCATGGCCCTGAACATGCAGTCTGTACTTTCCAGGCCTTGGATTTATTTGTTTTTTAAACAAGTGCAGACCAGGTAACAAAGAGGTCCTTGGGACACTGGAGGAAGAACAGGTTCCTTACTTGTAAGTGCGGTTCTCTGAATGGGGAATCATGGGGTGCAGTCACACCCCGGGGCTGCAAATGACCCCAAAGAACCATCACCCTGAGCTTTGTATCGTAAGGCTTCCTGCTACGGATAGTCTCACTTGGCCCTTGTCAGCCACTAGTTTTATGGAAGAGCAACTCTGGGAATGGGGAGGGTGAGTGATCGGCTAACCGTACACACTCACAGATGCACGTCATCTCCCAAGATTGCTTGCCGATGAATCCCATTCCAGCAGCCATTGTGCAGGACAAGCTGGAAACCCCGGGGAGGTCCAATTTGGACATATGGGTCTCTGGAGGGCAATCCCAGAAGAATGTAAGGAGAGCTCTGCTGGCTCAGACAAGTGGCCCACCTGGTCCAATGCTTTTTCCTTACACTGGCCAAGCAGGTGCCCATGGGAAGCCTGCAGGCAGCACTCTCTCTCCTTGCGATTCCCAGCAACTCGTATCCACAGGCATACTTCCTCCGACTGTGGGAAGTAGAGCCATAGCCATTGCTGCAGGAGTCACTGACCGCCCTGGAATTTGGCCCCTTTTAAAGCCATCTAAGCCATGGAGCAGAAATGTGTGTGCTTTAAAGTGCAGGATGAAGCAGAAACACAGACCATGGCAATCAGAGGGAAGGACAGGAAGCAAAAGGTGTGCTAAACCTGCCTGACACCTGACCTCTGCACTAGCTGTTTTCTGTCCCGTCAGTCACTGTCGCTGGGGACGGACGGGCACTAGGAAAGGCCTCCACAATCTACCCAGGTGGCCTCCATGAACAGCAGCCCATTAACTAGTCATCATGGCCACTTCATAATTTACTCGCGTTAAGCACAGACACACCCTGCAGCAAGAGCATCTCACCCTTTTGCTAAAAAATGGGGACAGGGCTTACCTCACGCAGCACTCCACTGCACGAAACCAGTGGAGCATCTCGTCGTGAAGTGTGCATAACTGAAGGCAGGAGAGGAAGACCTTCTCAGCATCGCTGTACCAGCCGGCGTCCGAGAGGAAGCCTCCTACAAAGGCAAGGGACATGGACAAGGTGTTGTGCAACCAGGGCGCCATTACCATAGAGAAGGGCCCTACACTTCCCCATTTAATTTATTTACTATTGTTAGTAGTTGGGCAATTCTCTGGATCCAAGCCATACAGTATTGACTTTCTTTTGAAGAAAGGAATTGAGCAATTTATTTATTTTCTCTCCCCTCCCCCCAGCAGTTTTTTTCTCTCTTTCAAACTTGGGTCCCCAGCTGTTGTTGGACTACAACTCCCATCATCACTGGTGATGTTAGCTAGGAGTGATGGGAGTTGTAGTCCAACAACAGCTAGGGACCCAAGTTTGAGAAACAGTGTTCTATAGGCTGCTCCCCTTCTCTCGCCAACACTGCCTACTCCTTACCCCTCTGAACCTCCACTTGCTGGCCTAGGCCAGGTGCCCGTTTGCCTCCATCTCTGAGTCCCTCTTCCTCGCCCAGTTTATGGTCATGCTGTACTTCGCAGTACCGCCTTTCAGCAGCCATGCGAACTGCAGCATGACGACATCCTTAGTAAAATATGTAATAGGGGAGAAAGAAAATCTTATTTCAGTTTCTTCTTCATGTGCCTCTTACAAAGTTCCAAGCAAGCAAGATAGACTAATATCCTATTTCACCCACAGTTACCTAAGACAAATCCAATCTGGATAGCTTTTTCTTTTACAGTAGCATCTGACTCTGCTATGTAGGAACACCTCCTGCTGAACGAATAGGCCAACACGGATGCCACCTTTACTCCATGGTCCATCAATGCCTGAAAACAGTGATGAAGTAGATGTCTGAAAGGGAAACAGAAGGAAGAGGGAGAAGATAAAAATGTTTTACCTCCTTCCAACAAACACTTTGTGTCTGCAGTCCAAAGGTGTGCTTACCGGGGATAAGCTCCAATGAGTTTAAGGGGCTTACCCCTTGGGAACTACAGTGTGAGTTTCTGTTTTAACCAACAGGCACTGAACTATCAAGCCATTTACTAAAGCAGTGGTTTTCAACCAGTGTGCTGTAGCACCCTGGGGTGCCGTGAATTATGGTCAGGGGTGCTGCGGGCAACACAGGCCTCTGACCCTCTTTCCTTCCCTCCTTCCTCTGATGCCCTCACGTCTCTGCCTCCCAAAGGCTTGCACAGCTGTTTGATGGAGCAGTTCAGAGGCCAGGGACAGCAGCAGTAGATGCCCGGAGTACTCATAAGGAGAGGGGAGAGGGGAGGAGGCTGAGGGAGCACTCCACTAAGGAGGGTGCTTGAAAAAGGGTGAGGGGCTGCCAGCTCTGCAGGCAAGGGGTGACATAACTGGGCTCCTGAGCCCCACAGGGGTGCCTCAGAAAGAATGTAGTTGGTTAAGGGAGCCGTGGACTCAAAAGGGTTGAAAAACTGTACTAAAAAGTAAAGAGACCACAAATTACAATCTGGTTAAACCCTTTGGAACAGATGCATTCCCTACCCTCCCTGTATCTATGGGTGGTATCCAATGCTAGTCCTACTCAGAGAAGACCCACCAAAGTTAATAGGTATGACTACCTTACAGTAATTTCAGTGGTAGGACTTAGTTGGATACACCACCATCTCTCTTTGCCGTAATACAGGAACTCAGAAAAGCTTAACATTCGCCTGCAATTAGCACATACACACTCACACACAAACAGCTCCCACATTTTACAGCACAGAACAGATTTATGCTGTGTCCTTGAGATGGGGTGGGGTAGAAGACACCCACCCACCCCCAAACCCTGCAATTTTCACAAAAAAATCCAAAATGCCACCTCCAGCCCAGATTTGAAAAAACAGGAAGCAATCCATCATCCAGAATTCCTGCTACAGCCAATATCAGCCACATGAATTATGCGAGCACCACAAGGCTGAGAGCTCTTAATCAATCAAACTTCCACCACCCCAACACAAAAGCAGCAGCCAGAGCCTGTTAACAGGGCTGTTAGGCAGAAGAACAAAAACATACTTTGGGGAGAATTTTGCTTTTCTTCCCCCCACCCCCACAAACCTTTCCTTGCCCACAGTAGCAGAGGCTTATGGGGGGGGGTCTGCTTATTATTCTGCTTAAAAGTCTGAGCGGTAAACTTTGGATATACTGACCACTTCCGTGTCACTTTACAGTGGTATAGGGACCATAAACTACAATCAAATAACCCAAAAATGTCCAAGAAAAGAAAAGTTGATGCAGAGGGAAGGCAATTTCAGGAGAGATGGGAAAGTGAATACATGTCTGTGATTAATGGAGACAAGCTGGTATGTCTTATTTGCTATGAGGCAGTGGCAGTGATGAAGGAATACAATTTATGCCGGCACTTTGAGACCAAACATGGAGCCAAATTTGCTAACCTTTAGCCACCAGGAAAAGCAACAAAAGGTCCAAGAATTTCAGAGCTTGTTATTACTTACATTATTACAAAAAACAGTAATAATTGAATGCAGTGACAATAATTTATGATAATAAAGAGTGGACACATAGTCCTACAGATACAACCGGCCCTTTGAGGGTGACCAAACTGCTGATGCGGCCCCCGATGAATTTGAGTTTGACACCCCTGTTCTAAGCACTGAGCACCCACTGATTCTAACCAGTCAGTTAAGCACTGAAACTGGTAGGGATCAAAAATGCTCAGTGGTGATTGGGCTGCATCCAGTTATATTTTACAGGGGGAAATGTTCATCTTGCAAAGCGAGAGGAGCTGCCATTTTTGGTAAGCACTGACTTACCTTTTATCTAAAGCTCGAAGCACCTTTGCAAAAACTTCCAGTTCGCAGAATTCACTACCCAGCTGGCATAGTCGGCCTTGTTGGTAAAGCTGCAGGAAGAGGGAGAAAAGAGTTTTATGAGTTGTACTGAGTGACATAAATAACAAGCCAGGAGTGTGGCACACTGTTCTAGCTCAGGGCATGGCTGCTATCCGCTGACGAACGGGGTCACAAAACATTGCTCCTCACACAAAATCAGGCTACTTGGTACACCTAATGACCAGTGGTGTATTTATACGGTGTCTGCCACCCCTGGGCAGAAGTGGTACCGGTATATCCTCCCAGGAACGTGTTCATGTGCAATCTCAACAGAGCACACAAGCACCAAATTCCTTCCTCTTTGCATGTGTGTTGGGGATACCTCGACTCAGCTTCGGAGTGCAAGTCCCAAAGGCCTCACAATCCCATGTGGTAGTGTGCTCTTTCTCTCCATCCGCTGCCTGCCTCCCTCCTCAGGTGTGGTTTTGGCAGCAGTAGTGGCGGCAGCAGCGGCAGCAGCAGGGCAAAGCCTCTCCTGTCAAAGAACTAGGCATGCAACCTGCCTTGCACCCTGGGGTGGTCACTGCAGGTGGTGTGCACATGGCAACACCTTCTCAGCTTTGCTGCCCTGGGCAACTACCCCATTTGCCCTCCCGTAAACACGTCTCTGCTCATGGTTTAAGCTTAACCTAGCAAGTTATCTGTCTGGTCCCATCCACTTTGCCAGCTGTGATGGTATCGCTGGGCCAGAAGGGGCAAAGTTATATGGCAAGGGCAGTGAGTTGCATAGTGTTGCTTGCCAGAATTAATCACAAGGAGGAGAGGAAGGAACCACAAGATAAAAAAAGCTTTCTGGATTGTAGAGTATTTGTTCTTTGTAACACTCATGTGAGCCATCAGGCTCTGACAGCTTTTTTCGCTTCGCTTTGCCAAGTAAAGTGCATTACTTCCACACACACACACCCCTCAGTACACAGAGGATAAGCCAGCAAAATTTTGTTTACTACGTTGCATGTTTTTCTGAAGTCCAGCAGTCTGCCCCATTCTCTGGGGACTGAAGCTACTAGAAACAGCACTGTTGTAAAAAATGTCTACATCAGGAAAATATTGTTTAAGGGTTTTCTTTTTTTAAAGGACTGCGTTTTGTTAGTACAGTGGTACCTCGGGTTAAGTACTTAATTCGTTCTGGAGGTCTGTTCTTAACCTGAAACTGTTCTTAACCTGAAGCACCACTTTAGCTAATGGGGCCTCCTGCTGCCGTCGTGCCGCCATTAACCTGAAGCGTATGTAACCTGAAGCGTATGTAACCCGAGGTACCACTGTATAAGTGCAGCTTGCTAAGTCAGAGCATGGGTTCACTGAACTCTTGTATTGCCTACATTGACCAGTAGAAGCATATCAGATTTTCAGCCTTATGTAGAGGTTCTGGAGATTGAAGCTGGAACCTTCTGAATGCAAAGCAGATGCTCTACCACTCAGCTATGGTTCTCTCCCCTGTGGATATAGGAAGCTGGCTTATACTAGCTCAGACTCCTGGTCCATCCAGCCCAGTGCTGTCTACTTTGACTGGCAGCACTGGGCTGGATGGACTGGTTGGGAAGGGTCTCTGTTATCAGCTGCTACTGGACCCGTATTTAAACAGAAATAACCAAAGATTGAACATGGGACCTTCTGCATGCAAAGCATTTGCTCTACCATCCCGTCCCAGAAAGTCAGGCTTGTAAATAGTCCAGTATTGACTTGCCCAGGGCGAAAAAGAACTGCTTCCAGGCAGTAGGGAAAGAAAGCTTGTTCAGGCATCAAGTCAAATCATGCTTTGTGCTAACAAGGGTTTAAACATCTGCCCTTCTATAGTGATAACCTGACAATTCAGACATCACACCAAAGTGACCAAACCATGGCTTTCAAACTACGGTTTCAGATTCTGGTTTGCCAGCCAATTGCAAACGGTGGTTTGTCACTTCACAGAGACAGCAGAAAGCCACAGTTAGGCTTCCTTAACCATGATCTGGCTCAATTTATTATAAACTGAACCCTGAGAGGTTTCTTTCCCCCACTTCCTTTCTGTGTTGTCATGCCACAAATGACTTACATCGACCATGTTTGTAGGGTACTTAAAAACAACAATTTATCAGTGTACAAGCCAGTAGCTTTTAATAGACATTGGCAAGACTGTTTCACTATGCTTCTATGTCAGGGGTCACCAGCAAAACTGGAGAAACTTGCCAACGGCATGATACACACACTGCAACCAAGCATTCAGAACAAACTATTTCACAGGCAACAAGAAAAACTTCTTTAAAGCTTACTTTCTGCAGGGGGAAGGATCCTGGGGACGCCAGGGAAGACCCCTGGGGGCATGTGGGCAACCCCATGCTCGATGACAGGGCTAGGCAACGAAAACCGTTTTACCGGCCCATGAGCTGCCCCTGAACCGAGCCGCCCACTCGGCAAATCCCCCACGTGCTGCGCTAAACCGGCGCAGTGCGGTAACTTACTGAGCGGCACTGGAAAGTGTGTCTGCACATGCGCAGATACTAGAAATCGCATCTGCGCATGTCCAGATGCTGAAAATCGCTTCTGCGCAGGCACAATTTTTGGCATCTGAGCATGCGCAGAAGCAATTTCCAGCACTGCGGACATGCGCAGACGCGATATCCGGCATCGCGCTGCGCCAGTCCAGCCCACAGGCGGTCTCCATGGGAGTGATCTGGCCCATGGCCTGTATACCTTGCCAACCCCTGCTCTATGACATCCTCTTCTCAGGCCCCCGTGGGGGCAGTGTGATGAGGGACCTCTCTTTGGGGCGGGCGGGGGGGGGGAGACCAGGGGCGGTAGCTGCGGCTGTCCAGAGGACTCCCAAGGAGAGGGGAGGGGAGAGGATGCTGAGGGAATACTCCACAAGGGAGGGTGTTCGAAAAAGGGTGAGAGGCTGCCAGCTCTGCAGGCAAGGGGTGACATAGCTGGGCTCCTGAGCCCCACAGGTGTGACGCAGAAAGAATGTAGTTGGTCAAGGGAGCACTGGACTCAAAAAAGTGAAAACCTCTGCTCTTTGTAGTACAGTCATACCTCTGGTTACAGATGCTTCAGGTTGCGTTTTCTCGGGTTGCGGGCCGCCAAAACCCGTAAGTACTGAACGGGTTACTTATGGGTTTTGGCGGTGGCGCATCCCGCACGGATCACGTTCGCAACCCAAGCGTCCACTGTAATCCTCAGGGTATTCAATTTTACTTTACCGAAATTGTGTTGCAAATACTCCAGCATGTGCACTTTCTATGTACAACAACCTTGGGGGAAATGAGATTTGCAAGCATCTTTACTGCTAGTGTAAATAGCTAGAAGCTGTGCTTGATTATTCAGTGACCATGCATGACAAGTGCTTAAAAGAGCCTATCACCTATTAAAGCTCCCCAAGAAGTGGCAACCTTTGATCCAGACTGCCAACCTAACTGGTTGGCTGCCAAGGGAATTCCCACAAAGGCTGTTGAACTCTAGGAAGTTTTGAGAGCTTGTTTACATAGATCCACAGCAGTTAATTTTTTTAGAAAACAAAACTCTTTTTCTGGCCCGCAAAGGATGGGAGAAAACATAATGAGGATGCAACACAGCTAAAGATTAAAATGTCTGCAGTTCTTAGGAGTATAGGTCAAAGCAAAGTATGTTCAAGGATGCAGTTTTATGAAAGATTCTATACTGGCAATTTATTTTAAAAATTAATAATATGAAAGCATAATAAATCAATAAAGTAATTCTCATATACTGCATAAGTAGCACAATTACCTCATTAGCCACTAAAATCCTAGTGAAATATGTTTTTTTAAAAAAAAACAAAAAACAGATGCCTGAAACAATACTAAGTTGGGGTGAGACACATCTCAGCGGTGAAGTCATACCACAGTTGTGGAGCCACCACTGAAAAGGATCTTCCAAGGGCACCTGAACCGCACAACTCAGTTAACCTAGGAACCACCAGGACTGCCTCTTCCATTGATCACAGTGTGCAGGCAGGTTGATAAAGAGATTCTATACACATTTACTTGAGAGAAAATCCCATTGTTCTCAATGGCCCAATGTAACCGTGTTTCCAATCTCCTAAAATCAGGCATACACAGTGGCTTTGTAGACACTTTCCCAAGGTTTCCTTGAGCGTAGGGTAGTGTTGTGGGCATGCTGGCACTAATCACAGTTGATGCTACCCATAATTGCCTCCTAACTATGGCTTGCAAAGCTACCTCAAAGCATGATCTCACATAGGGTTAAAAAGGATAATCCTTGGCTAGCACCAATGTATGAATGATTCTACACTAGGGTTAATACAAACTATGGTGGAAGGGAACTTTTGCGTGAGACAGAGCCTGTGAGTCCACATCTATATTCCTGATCCCCTAGCTTCTTTGGCTAACTGGATGTATCACACCGAAGAATATGAGTGAACTTGATGAATCACACTGAGCAATCGCAATGGCTTTAATACACTAGATACCTGTCAGCGACTATGATATATATGTATAAGCTGTAACACAGTACAAAACTCCGGGGTGCTTGTTTACTAGGTCTAAAGACTCCTCTTTTTCCCCCTCAAAGATGAAGCAGAAAGGCTTCTAGACTCTTAATTTGCCAGTTTCACCCACAAGGATTAAGCTATTTTGGAAGGCTGCCTTGGTCTTTATTAACCTTATCAGAATTTCTGACAGCTTGGCATATCACTGCTAATCTCTTTCCTTAAATACCAACAAACATGTTTAAACGGAATATATCTGTGGCAGGATTTCAATGATATATACCCAAATGGTGTGAAAAATCGAGTGATTTGATGTGGTGGGGGGAGGAGGGTATTTGAAAGTTAACGCAAAGATGTAATTGAATGATCTGTTTCCTTTGAAAAGCTCCGTTCCAGTTGTGTTCTAGGGAATCCTCAGGTTCCTTAGGAAGTAATTTCGGGCCTCCTCAAATATGAAAGTGGCAAACAAATGTCTCTGAAAAGATAGGCTTTCCCATCACCTCTGAACTTCTTAAATATGAATTTGTTCTGGGACACACAGATATTCTCTTAAGTAATAGAGGACTAAGT